CCCCCCTTCCTCCCTACTGCCATTATGATCAATCCTGAGTTCCCACCAGGCCTAGACATAGTTGCCTTCCAACACTGTAAAGTAGATGGCCCACTAAAATTACATCAGGTCACAAAGGGGATGAGCTTCTTGCACTTGCTGATCTCAGGAAACTCTGGAGCGCTACTGTGATATTACACTCTCAGCCTCACCCTGAGCAGAGTTTTTCCAGCTCCTGGGACAACAATGCAAATGCCAGCAGACTGAGAGTGGTTGTCAATTGGGCAGGTTAACTCCACAGCCTTAACTATTTTAAAATGTTTAATTAAATTAAAAGAAAAACAGTGCAAGAAAATATTTACAGAAGAATTGTCACAAAACACACAATTAACAGTAAAATAAATGGTATTGAAAGCAGAAAGATATTTAACAAAATTTGCCTGGTCTTTAGTTTTGCACATAGGCCACCCTATTGCAGATTAAGTCCAATCTGATGTATTAAAGTCATCAGCTCTCATGAATGACCCTTTCTTCATATTTTTGACCGTAAGCAAGAACTGTTGAGAAGCCCTGGAGAGGGCGTTTACAGAATATAACTTGAGCAAATACTTTCTTGATCTACCAATAGCATGTGCTCGGGAGATGTTCCCACAACAAAATCTATGTTTATTGTAGCTGAAAAATCACATTAGATGTGTTGGTGTGTTTCTGAAAAATCACAAATCTGGCTCTATATAATGCAACACAGTGTAGAAAAGCTCCAGGAACATTATCATACATGTGATTGTTAAAGTGACACTAAACTCAGCAGTTAAATCTTAAAAATGCATTCAAATACCTTACTTATCACCAGAAATGCAGCTTATGTCTATCACTCAGCTGTAGATCCTCAAATAATCTCTAAATTCATGCTGCTTTTGTTCTCTATGGTCCCTGTGTGTACTGTAAAGTAGACATCGCTCCAGTAACGGACTACAATCTCAATACAAATTAGTAAACTAAACATGGGATTGTAGTCCATCACAAGAGTGAGTTTGGGGTGGGGGCTACAGTGCAACACACACATAGACCATGGGGAACAAAAGTAGCCACCCTCCAGAAGGGAGGAGATAATAGGCTACATTTTTGTTAATAGCTAAGGTGCTTGAATATTTTTTATGGCTTTAACTCCTGAGTTAAGGTCACTTTCATACAACCTTACTGGCAGCAAATTCTTGCTCTTATATCACATATCACTGCTGTGACCCTGGGATCCTTGAGTACTTTTATTTCACAAAACATCCATACCAGCTTCTTGATAGAACAAAACATGATGCCCATTAACTAAATGCTGCTAAAAACCTGATTCCTAAATACTGGAAAACCACCAAACCACCCTCGGTAGCGGAGTGAACACTGCTGCTTGTTGATAAAATCTACTTTATGGGGGAGATCACTATACTCAAAAGGGCCGATTTTCAAGTATACTATACAAAATGGGCTGGTTGGTTACAATTTAGACTATTTAGAAATGTAGAAACTATTGGGCACCGTTCCAGACTTCATTCTCCAATAACCTGATCATAGCAATATGTACAAAGCATCAAAATCCTCATATGGTTTAATTCTCTTAAGACATGTTTTACCGGATTGGAGGCCACCCTCCCTTGCCTTCCTCCTCAGTCTTTGTATCTATGTTATGTTGAATGGGCATGAAACTATGGTTTAAATGTAATTAATATTGCTACTGCACAGCAGAGGATATTGCCTCTTTTCATGTGATATCCCACCCCCTATGTCAACCATGTACAAAGTAGTTTGTTTCTTTAAAAGCTTTATGGTGCTTTCTATTCTATTGTATGTCTGTGTGATATATGGAAAATAAAACCTTTATTGTGCAGAAATAATGTTGTAAATTTAAAGTACTAAAGATTATGCAAACAACACTTCTGATAAAAATGCCATCAAATAAATCTGCTACAATGATCACTGTTTAGGCAAATATTTATTTATTGATATTTTTTTGTGTCAGTTGCAATTTCTATTTCCCAGTGTTTTTATTTTCTGCTTTTATTTTCTGTCTCTGACATACCAAGTCCTGAAAGTATACATTCACAAAATATAATGAAAAAAATCATAGATATTTCTAATAACTGTACTACTATATTCCCAAATTCTAGTATAGCCTTTTCCTGCATATTTCAATTTTTGTTTTTTATTCATTTTAACATAACAGATCCATGTCTGTGCACATCACAAATAGCAACCAGCAAAATTTGAAAATGTGGGTAGAGGAAAAAAAACAAGGAAAGATTTGTGAAAAAGTTAAAAGAAAGGTGATTTAGGCCCACCTATTCTTAAAGCAACCTATGGCTTCCTCATCAGCAGTAGTTCAGAATGATAAATCAGTTTTAAACAGCTGAGTACAGCAAGATTTATTGAGCATACATACGTGTGAAGTACATATACAACAAAGACATGTACTGGAGCTTTAACAATAAACAATTTATTAAATACCAGTTTCTTATATAAAACTATTCCCATATGTAACAGATTAGTTGGTAACCAAAGACAGGAACATAACCTCTTATCCTTGAGTGACACCTAAGCAGTGCCCAACAAATACAGTTCATTCTTACAAAAGTGGCAAAATGTCCATTTATGGTAACATTTGGATGGGATAATTGGTAGCCTCTAGGAAGTCCTAACTCATACCCACAGGGATAGGGCTGCAACAACTAATCGATTATAATCGATGATGAGAATATTTGGCAATGATTCTCATCATCGATTAGTTGCTGCCGCTCTGCTTCTCTGTTCTCCTCCCTGTCGGTGCCAGCTGCAGCGGTCTGTGTCCCTTTCAATCCCTGCTGCTCTCCCCGCCTGTATCGGCAGAGGCAGCGGGGACACAGACCACTGCAGCTGGCACCACTGGCGAGATCACTGTGACTGCATACCCCCACTGCCACCCCCGTACATTCGCTGCTGCCCCTCGTACCTCCGCTGCTGCACCGGTCCATTCCTCCACCCCGTGCCTCCTCTGCCTCGCTCCGTTCCTCCTCTGCCCCTCTCCCGTGCCTCCACAGCCGCCCCGTTCCTCCTCTGCATCTAGAGGCTGGCTATTGCACCCGCCTACTGCCTGATGTCAATCAGCCTTAGAGGACCTGATGGAGAACTTTTTTCTTCAGGTCAGGTGATTGACAGCAGGCAGTGGGCGGTGCAATAGCCAGCCTGCTATTGGCTACTGCAATTTGAAATATCCAATAGCAGGCTGGCTGTTGCTCCCAGCAATAAAGTAAAACAAAAAAAGTTTAAAAAAGTAGAGTTAAATAAACTAAAATTAAAAAGACTAAAAAATGAAAAAAAAGTTAAATAAAAATTACAAATGCAAACAAATAAAAAATAATAAATAAACTACAATTAAAAATAGAAAAAAAGAGCTTTATTAATTCACATTATTTTAAATCCATGAAACGAATTAAAATGTCTAATATAATACATACAAGCAATGTCCTGCCTTCCAGTGTAGTGCGATTTTAAAAATTGTGCATATCGTTTTATTCTGAAGTAAACATTGTCTGTAACACTGCATTTTGTATTTTATTTTAAATAAATGATGGTATTAATTTTTTTTATTTTATCTGAATAATCGATTAACTGAAGTTAATAATTGGCTAACTAATCGATTATGAAAATAATCATTAGCTGCAGCCCTACACAGGGAGTTCAAATAACCTATTACTAGATTCTATAGAAATGCTGTTTTCTCTCTCATTCAATGAAAGAGGACTCGTAGACAATAGGGTTATACTGCCACCTACAGGTGGCCTGGTACAGCCTGGCCTCTCCCACTCCCAGCATGCCCTAGTTTTTATTCCTAGATTATAGACATCTTTTCTCTACTAATAAATGTTCAACTGGTGTAATTAGCCATTTTGCCTTATTCAGGCATAAATATATTGTTTTTACCTTTTAATCAAGACTTTATGTATTAGCTGCTAGAGCTGATTTCTTCATGCAGCTATCTGGATTGGTATATCCTTGGAGGCCGTACCTGGATCCTGCTGGACTGGCTGATTGCCGAGTCTGCCTGGAATGTGACCTTTGGGCACTCTGCTTCACATTAAGGTGCTTTCCGTACTTTTGTGTCCAGTATTAGTTAGCCACAGGGTGCTTTTCAGGTCCATCGCCACTGCACAGCCTCTGCTGTGACCCAGTTTCTGAAGACTCCTTTATGAGTAAAGCTACTTAATTTATTAGAATGGTTGGGCGCGGTTTTTATCCCTATTTTTCTGTTGGTTCTGTTGGTGCAGGAACTATATGCTGCATCTTTAGGTGGAGCATTGCATGCTCACACTTTGCACTCTTGTTTCTGTCATTCAGCGTGAGCTAGCACCTTCCCGCCACTGTACCTTTTCGCAAAGAAGGATGCAGTTTCACAGTTGCCGCCTAAAGTGACCAGATTACCTCTGGCCATTTGAACCTCTCCTTCTTTCAGCAGCTGATTAGGGAGAACCCAAGGTTTATCCTTGTATTTGAGCTGAGGATTTCATGGGAAGAATAATTT